CATTATGTAAAGCTTTTGACGTTTTCACAAACAATATATTTTGAGTGAGAATGACTCCTGGGACCTCTGCTAATTCCTAACGAAGAGCATCGATCTTTGGCTGCGACTCCAAAACACATTCTGAAGTTCTCAGAATGAGCTCAGAATCTCAAACTCTTTATGGTTGTGTGAAGCTCAGGACGTCAGCCAGGAGCCCATCTGTCCCTGACTTCATGTTTTCCACAGAGCCTAAAGGAGAAGTGGATCGCCCTAACGTAATGTCCAAAGACCTGCTTGTGTTCATATAAAACCTGGATGCTTCTGCTGGGCGTATTTCACAGCAACACTTCAGTTAGGAGCCAATCTGTCTTTGTTTACTTCCTGGCCGGAGAAGCGTGGACTTATCGAAACAGGAGAAGAACTCCAGAGAGTGAGACTTTTTGTCAGTCACAAGAAAACAAGTCAAAGAACCCAGAAGGAGAAAACTGCTTCCAGAGCAGAAAATTCTCCTCCTCTGCTCCCTTCTTCTCCTGCTCCCACCAACAGGATTTCTGCATTTTTCCCCATTAAGGCGCTGTGCATAAATAGCAAAGCTCTGCCCCAAATTATAAAATTGCTTTCCCTTTTTAGCCAAGACCCTGAGGAAAGAGAATTAGCCTTGACTCTTGGAGTGATGGGAGCTTTTTGATCATTAGGTTGACGCTGAGCCACATGAAAACTAACAGGGCATCAATCAGCTTAAACTTTCTTCTTTGATAAAACGTGTAGTTAGAGCAGCTTAGGTTATGCTGAAACGATTAATCGTGATTGATTGGTTCTTGAAATAGTTCACAGCTAATTTAATAATCGATAAATCATTAACTGGAGTACACAAACTCTAAAAAAAAAAAAAAAACTGCAATTTGCTGAAAAATAACACAGCCAGAGTAGTAATTAAGCCAAAACTGTTATACTGTTTGACTTTCTAATTTTCCTGATGACTCCTGCACAAAAAAATTAAATAATAATAATACATAAAATAAAAAAAATAGCCGAGGAACAGCTGAAAATAGCAATCCAAGAAATGCGGGTAATTTTAAAGAAAATATAGCGCCGCTCTTGGTTCTTTCTCAGCGTTGTCCAGGCGACAAACTAAAACAGTTTCTTATAATTCAAATCCACTAGTCGTGTGTGTGTGGAACCATGCGACCTTTAAAATTACGATGCTGACACACACACGCACGCACACACACACACACACACACACAGCAGAGGGCTGGACGTAGCAGGTCTCTGTCGATTGCTGCTCGTTCATCTTAAATTGCGTTATGACAACACAGTAAACACACCGGTGTTAATTAGCGACCAATCAGAGCATCTGAAGCAAAAATGGGTTGACCTCAGTTTTTCTACAAGCAGTTTCTCCAATTACTCGTCTTAAAACATTTGTCCTGCAGCTTTTCTGCGAACAAACGATGAGCAACTGGGGGAAGTTCAATAGAAGAGAGTGCAGCGCCGCAGTGAAGTCACACATCAATGAAAACCGGCTTGCGTGTGTGTGTGTGTGTGTGTGCGTGTGTGTGTGTGTGTGTGTGTGTGTGTGAGTCAGGGAATCCTCTGGGGAATACATTTTCTTCACACTGAAGGAGCTTTGGAAGCAGAGAAAGAGGACGAAAAAATTGCTCAGAAATTCACTCGCTTTTACCCAAGATTGTAACAAGCTCTGCAGCAATGTTAGAGTTCCTCTGCACGCACACACACACCACATGCATATCACAGCAGGGTGTGTTACGCCTGGGTTGCATCAGCAGCAGTAGGAGCGGCTCGGTGGTCATGAACAGACTTTGAAATCATCTTGTAGGCTGCATTCGTTAAACATTAGCAGGATCAGTGTGTTGCCCCGCTGCATGGCTTCTTATTTATATAACCTCTTGGTAAACACATTTCTAAATTCTCAAGTTATTGCACTCAATGTAGCTTAAATTAGGAGCTTCAGGTGAGATTTCTGCTCTGTCGCAGCAGTCTGTGTGTTGTTTAGTAGAAATAACACTTGACTTTATAATTTAACGCCTTGAAATTGGGCCTCTGTCTCTTTAAAAAGCTCCTGCTCTTTCGAAACTCTGCCTCTAGGAAGTCCTCACAGCATTCTTATTTATTCATTAAACGGCAGTATTATGCGTTTTCCAGGCACAGAATGACATTTATGGCACAATCAAGAAACTATGTTACCTACAGATGTTTACAAAATCTAATATGAAAATATATTATAAATGACCAAAGAAAATCTACTTCCTGATTTAATACTTTGAAATTGGGTCTTTGTCTCTTTCTGAAGCTCCTCTACAGGAAGTCATCGTAACTTTCTTCCTCTATTAAACCTTTTAGCAGCGTTTTAACCAGCGTTTAACTCAGAAGTAGCTCCTATAATGAGCTCAGCCGATGCTCAGGTCCACCAAGTTGCTAATTGCTGCTGGCTGATACCAATAGCAATATTGGCCATAAATAAAACCTGGTTGATATTAACAAACAATATTTCTGTTCATATTGCTGCTGTTTGTTTCTGGAGGGGAAGGAGTGAAGGTTGGTCCTGTGGTCCTTGGTCATGTGACAGTACCTGTGTTTTTATTAACCACAGAAAAGCGAAATCTGACATTTCGAAAATGAATTCAGAAACATGTCAACTTTGAAAAAAAGCTGTGGCTCTAGTATGAGGTGGGACTTTTCCCCTCCCCACCCATATCAAATTAGTTTATTTCGTGAAACAGCACCTTTTTCACAGCCTGCGCTCAACAATCAGATGTTACTACGATCGGAAACCACAAACGAGACGACAATAGGAAGTAGTAGCATGGTGATGGCGCACCATGTTTTTAATGACTTACCACGTGAACAAACTAACTCAAGTGTTTTTTATTGCCTCGTTTTAATTTTCAAAATTAGCGCAATGTCAACAACTGGCGGAACTACGTTTATTTTTTATCAGAAACATAGTTGGTGATAGTGATGCATTGAAGCCAGTGGGCGTGGTCATTTATTTTCAATGTGTTTGAAAGGGTAGTAAATTATAAATAAAGTATTTACAATATTGGTAAATGATGGTTATCGGCCATAACGGCGATAGCATATTGGATAATATCGGTCCAAATTTTCCATTTTTTTCAAAGTCAGAAAAAGCCAGTTGTAATTTAAACTTGGAACTTACATAAACCTGCATTCTCTTGTGAAATGCGTCTTCATACAGCAAAACGTAATAAGTGAGAAAGAATGTTAAGTATCCACCTTGCTTCCTCGAAAAAAGATTTCTCTGAACACATTCTACCTTGCTCCATTTTTCCTTCCATCCCCTTCATGCTGCATTCTCCGAAGTGTTTTTTTCTGCATTTTATCCATCCTTTTACAAAGTCCACAGTTTTCTCTGCAGGAAGCAGGCACTAAAGAAGAAGCCTGCAGTGTTTTCACACATAGTTGCTCGGATTATTACAAACCCCGGAGCATCTCTCTTTCTTTTTTTCCCCTTTTCCTCTCCACAGTACCATTTATTTATTTTTGATCCCAAAATATCTGGCAGAGGAAATCAAGCTCCGCGTTTAGACCTTTGAGTTTACGCTCTGCGACCATCACATGTCATCTTTGCTCCATTTTCCCTTGAATAGGGATGTTTCCGACTGGAGCCTCGAGCTCGGCGGAGAGAAATTAAACTGATGGAAAGAGTGAATTCCTGGCTCTTATTCTGATGATCGAATCGACGCCGCAGGTCTGCGCATATTACTGTAATCTCGAATTTTACGTCATTTTCAACTCAGCGGCGCCAAAGTAATGCAGCTAAGAGTTACGGTGTTTGTATTCGCATTTGATGTACTTGGATCCAAAAACATCCATATTGTGGATTCATAGCCTGACAATGAATGTATCATTGAATTTATGGCTCTTTATTGAGGAACCAATTCCCTCTTTTTATAGGAGTACATGATGCCTGATGAACCCTTCCCCTGGCTCTGTACTTTGGATTGAAGCTTAAACAGAGACTTTCTTCCAGGACTCTGGTAACAAAGATACAAACTGATCATAGCGTCAGCACAGAGTTCATCACCAGTCGCACGTTTCATGTTTACCTGGAATACTAGTAATTAAAGGAGCATATAAAATTTTAGAGAATTTCTGGACCTTCAATTTTTTGAGTTGCCTAATTTTGTCTTAAATCTGAAGTTAGTGAAGCAACAGCCCTGTGGCTCCAAACGAGTCACTAAATAATACCTGACTCAGAGTCAAGAGCGAGTTGCAAAATTTGTTTTCAATTAGTTAATATGTTAATGGGTGCCATCTGTGTATCCTAGAGGACTGGAGGGCTAACTCAGTCTAACACACACAAATGCAGGGTGGGACTCTCCGACTTGAGTCCAACCCTGTGGACTTTATGTCAGAGCCGACCAGTTAACTTAACGTATCCTGAAGTAAACCAGCGTATTATATTAATTAAGACTTTATTTGATTTAATTTTTTTACTATAATTTGAGTGAGCAGTGTAACTTCTCCCTTTTTTAGCTTTTGTTTGACATCTTCCAGCTCCATGTAGCTGTTTGTGGTAAACGCTGGGTAAGTCAAGTGCTAATCATCTGTGTGATTGATGGGAGCGGAACGAGACGGCGCTGCGCTTGTTACAGGCTAACAAGCGTGCCCCTTTTCTTAAATTGACTTCTTCAGGAGGTCAAAGTGCATCTCTAATCAGAGTACAACAAACAGATTAGCAGAACTTCATATCGTGCATTCCTGTTTAGTTTTCTGTGCGCTGAGTTTGTGTGTCACAGAAGCCCGACCCAAATTTTGGCTTGGCCTCGGGCCATAAATCTAAACTGTAGAAAGTCAAGCAAATCTTATTGTCATCTGTTGGCTTTCTCTATTTTGACACTTTTACAACAACCAGGATGTGCAAGTATTAAAGCGTTCCCCCTGCAGCCGTTATGCTAACGGACCTTTGGAGCTATTACTGGATCCAGATGAAAGCAAAATAACCAGAAAAAAAAACCCATGAAGAATTCTGAAAAAACTTTACCTCAAAAGTCTTTAATGTCATTTATGGCGTCTTCGGCACACACCAAGTTCAACATTAAAGGCAACAGAAGCGAAATGCACCGAGTCTGGACAGAGAAGTACTGTCGAAAGGACAACCTGAAAGAACAAAAGTCTTCATAGTTACACAAATAAATATCTGAAGCTGACAGGTCAGTGCAGTTCTAATCTGTCCGGTATTAAAAAGGAGAAAGCGCCCCAACGCCTGACGATGGCTCAAGAGGAGACAATGAGATGGGTACAACTTTAGAAAACATCAGAACCTGCCACCGGATCTCCACCGAAGATTTCTGTGAATGTTTAAAAGATGAACAAGCACATTTCCAGGCGACTCCCAAGTCCTGGTTCAACAGTGCCGCCAACTTCAATTTCCTGGATACCCAGCAAAAGATTTGGCAAAAGTACTCAGTCTCTTTACAACATGGGAGCAAAAGGGTTTGCACTCATCAGTTCAACAAAGTGAGGTCTAGTATGAAATCTCAACAGAATCAACTTTGGTATACAGGTTTTCCTATCCATGTTTCTGTGGATGGAGTTCCTGCTGGCAGGCTTCATGGTTCCTGGCTGTCAAAGGGAAGAGAGCCAGGACGTCTTCCTCAAGATTTGTGTTAATCGTCAAAGGTAGTTGTGTCCCGTTAGGGTTCACCGCATCTTTACGAGGGATCACAGATTCATTCGAACTTCCCGAAGGACTACCCTTCGGCTTTAAACGTTGGTCTAGTCCAAGAGTTCCGGCGCTCCATCGACTATTGATCCACGTTCACCGCACTTCCCCGGGCGTGAGCACGCACCCGCGCGCAAGCGTCTTATCACTGGTGTCTGCGGCGTGCGCGCACCCCCCACGTCACGCCGAGCTGAGGCTGTCGAAGCCGCAGAACTTCCACCGTTTCTCCAAGGTCGCCCCGACGCCACTCAGCTCCTGCCGGAACATGCTGGGCAGACGCACCATGAGGCGTTCCAGCTCCCCGGCAGACACCTGGCAGAGGTCAGCAGAGGACACCCTGTGAGGACAGAGCCGCTCACCGCCCTTCCAAATCTAAATCTTGTTGAGAGAACATGTTGGTTTTTGAGAAACAGAGCAACAACCTGTTTAACATTAAGTGCTGAGTAATCAATCAAGATTCTTTTGCTTGTTTCTGTTGCTGTTTTGTTACGACAGTTAAAACATCCTCTGAGCTGTAGCCGAACTGACATTTTTCCCATAACACAGGATCTTGGATGCAACCAAAACATGTGCAAACCTCAATCCAAATTAAAATTATATCATTGTAAACAGAGAACTCCAAATAGTCTTTTTTAGACAGTCCGAAAGACACAATTTCTGACAAAAACTATAAATATAGATCATTCCACAATCAATATTTTAAATGTCGATACCTTTGAGTCCAGTCGCTGAATGTACGACCAGAGATACTCAAGGTTGGCCCCGAATGGATGGACATGGAGGAAGGTGGAGATGATGCCTGAAGAAAGAAAGGAAGAAAACAAAAAAGCACTTGTGTGTAACAATAGGGCAGTAGGGAATGTTTGAAAGACAGTGATCCAAATCTTGTCCATATGACTGAAAATGAGCCCTTTCATGCATGAATTATGATCCTTTATGTCAGGGTTTTTTCCAAAGTGTTTTTGATTTTCTTAAAGCATAAAAAAATATTGTTCTATTCCTTTTTTCTCAGTGATCCATTGTAAGTTTCTCACTAGTACTGTTCTTTCAGGGTCACTTGATGTCACACTGTTACTAGAGAGGACTGTAAAAGTCCTCTGCAGTAGAAGGAGGGACTGCTTTATTGTCCGTTGGCCATATTGGATTTAACAAAACATTTCTTGCACTTGCAGTGGATGGCCAGTAGTTGGAAGTGTATTGTATGATGCACTAGTGACCACATCAGTGGTCTGTGTGCATTTCTAACATAAAAATCCACAAGAAACACAAGTCAATAGTTTTTAGATGGCTGTCCACTGCAGTGAACTTTACACATGAAAGGGTTAATTTGTCCAACCAGGACCACATGTGTTTCTTAAACACGTCGACAATTTTGGCCCACGTGACAAAAGGTTTGGACGCCCCCGCACTGGCGATTAAGACAAAATGTACCATCAGTATTTAGCTTAACCAGTGAAAGGAAAGAGAAAAGGGGAAAGAGCAATAGGGGAACAACAGAGAAGGACGGCTGAGCCAGATTGGATATTAGATGTAAAGTTTCCGGCCAGCCTGCTTCGTCATGAAGGGCTGCGCTGTACACAAATGGCAGTGTGGCTACCGTAAAAATATGCTGGCCAGAGCAGAACCAGCTCTCAAGTTGATTACCTCTGAGGCGTCCTGCAGAAGAAAGCAGTCATGCAGAGGGATGGGGGGAAGGGAAGAGGGAGGGTTAGGAAATAGAGTGGCATATCCCTGGAGGATCCTGCAAGCCCAATATTTATTTCCTTGATTTATGTGGCGAGACTCTGGCAATTACAGGCAGAGGCCCTAATTCAATTCCTTCCACCAGACCAGCTCACATGGAACAAGGCCACTGGAGGAGAACTGAAGGGTGCGGGGAGGAGGGGTGGGGCGTTTCATCTCCTGAAAACAGAGTTTTATTTCTACGACGTTACAGGAAAGAGATCAGCTGCTAGCTGAGGGGAGGATGGACAGATGGCCGGTTTTGTTGTGTTCCAGATATATTAGTCCTTCAAATTTGGCCAAGAAAACTATTTCATGAATCACCAAGATAAGGTGTGTGACAGCAGCTGTGCTTTCCTAAGAAATTTGTTGATATTCCGCTAATGTCAAAAACACAATTTTGAAATTGGGGTGTTTCCATTTAATTAGAGATTCGTTCACGCGATAAGTTGTCAGAAAATGTCACCCTCCTACCCACTTCCTGTCGACGTCTTCTTTGCGGTTTCCCTCAGAAGCAACATCTGGTTGATGGTTCATCATGTGACTCATGTGATGCGAAGAAAAAAAGTCTTTCCGTTACAATTTTGCAAAATACGCTAATTTGATACAGCTGGGGGAAATAAAACCCCCACAAACAAGTTAACTAAAAATGTGAGTTGGCATATTGCCATAAACAAATTTATTTTCATAATTCCAATTTGCGCAATTACATGCTCAAAGGAAATGGCCCTAGCTTTTGCTACGTGGAAAATTAATGCGAAACCGTAAGCTATAGATGTGGCATGTCGCAGTCAGCTAATAGAAATATTAGCTAACTGCTACATGCTATTTAATGCATTACATTAAATAGTGTTAATAGAAAAACACTAATGTGTTTTGCTATTTTTTTTACATTAAAAGAAATGCAGCTTATTTTGTATTTCCCATCCTCCTCCTCTGCTTACAAGCAGGGCAGCTCTGGACGAAGACAGAGAGCCGGGCCTCCTCCTTTCTCATATCTGTATTATTTTTTCTCTTCCGCTAAGAGAGATAAATGTGCTGGTGCTGTTTCTCTTCGCCGCTTATTTATTTATTTTTGCTGTGGACGCAGCTATCCAAACACACACCTATCGGTTTCATTTAATAGCAGCCGCAAGGCTTGTGGAACACGAGGGCTTTTAAATGACTAAAGAAAACAGAGGCGTCTGAAACAAATCCGGTCCTGGATAGCATGTCTGTGCTGCTGGTGGAGTTCAGGCGGTTCGGTTCGGACACCTTCCTTCTTTTATGTTTTAGGTGCTGCTGTGTCGTAAACTCAGTTATATTACTGATGTCTCCATACGATGCGGCTGAGCCAACATTCTTTACCGTTCTGGTACGGGTGTACGATCCACCTGGAGCAACAATCGGCCTCCTGACACATCGTCTGTTCTTTAAAGTCGAGCCAGCAGACAATGAAAAAGTTGTCTAAACCCAAACACGCAGGTTTGAAGTGCTCCTCCTTCAGCCTGTAGCCGCTGGTCGCCTTTCCACTGACCATTCAGTTGCTCAAACTGGAACTACAACAAGAGATGTGAAAAACGAAAACGTGCCGATTTCAAAAAAAACCTCCAGTGAAACACTTTGTTGCTACACTGAGGTAGTTTTTCACTGAAATTAGTGTATTTTGCAAAACTGCAATGAAAACATTTTTTTTGGGGGTCACATGATCAACAGGACAACAGGAAGTGTCTTCTTCACGTGATTTTAATTGTGTTTCTAATTTAATGGAAAACATCACACTTGCGAAATTGTGTTGTTGTTTATGACAGAAGTTTTGTAATGGAAACAGAGCAACAGAGTCACTTCTGGATCACATTGCTGCTCTCCAAAGAAAAATGGACCTGGACTTGTTATTTTTACCAAATTAAGTTAAATTCAAATTATTCCACAAGACACCATACGAGCACATAATAGCACAGATTAAACTCTCTTTTTCTTTAATTACTTTTGTCATATTACAGCCACAAACGTTTGACCACGCCCACAGACTAAAGCATCTCTGCCTCGATTTGATTTTTCTGCTGAAGCATTTAACATATTTTTCTCCTGAACAACCCAGCCATATATTTAGCTCAATCGCTAACTGGCCTCTGAAGGAAAGCCTTTTGCGTGTTAGCTCTGGTGGTAAAGCTGAGACGGCTCCCACAGTGCGCTTCCTGCGCTTTTTAGGGAATATTTGGCTTACCTAACAGCAGAGCCTCTTTCTCAGAAGCGACTCCTCCTCTCACGTACTCTCTCCTCCTGTCTCTGCTGAGGTACAGCGAGGGAACACACCCATTCACACTCTGCGGAAACACACACAGGCACCACGTGGAGAAGGTTCCTTCTGAAAACTCGTGCAAAGCCATGAAAAGCGTCAAGATATTCCTGCACTCGCTTCAAACATAAAGGACCAGGTGTTTTACATTAGCTGCTTTTATTAAAGGTCATTTCTACGATGCAAATTGACATTAACACATTTTCTTCATGCAGTATTTGTTGTAGAAACGTTCACGGCGAACTGTTGAATCAGAATGATCATTTTTGGGGGTTTTACCTTTTCATGAAGCTCTCCATTGGCTCCCTCCACAGATTCACCTTTTCCACTCAACAGCTGCCGAGACAAAGACAGAAAACAGAAATTTAATTGGAGAAAAAAAATGAAAAAAATCCCAAAACCCATAGATAATTATTCGGTTATGGTCATCCGTCTGTTTTCTCAAGCTAACGCGAATAACTGACAGCTGCTGCAACTCTGCCCAGGCAGCTGTCCGTCAGCAGAGAGGAACCATGTTCCCATTAGCGACAGGTTGTATGCAAAAGCTTGGCCACACTGCTCACATTCAGATTTACGCCGAACCAAAGAAGAAACACGAAGACGTTCTTCCAAGCAACTTGTTAAGGAAATGTCTTCATAGTGAGTTTATGGACAAAGGCCTCCATTTCAGGAACTTTTTTTTTTTTTGCAAAATTCCTTATTTATGCCAGCTGCTGACTCCTCTACATGCGAGTTGTTTTTTGTGTCCGTTTGTTTTTTTGAGTTTTAAAAACAATGATCGGCTTTAATGTTTTATTCAACTGCATTAGTGAAGTGAGACGGTAGCGGCTGTCCGAGCAAAAACAAAAATCAATCTGCACTGAGACAGAACCAACTAAGGTCAGGAGAAATAATTGACAGTTCGATGTAATCAGTTGTAAAAAGAGTTTCTTTGGTTTTAATTTGGAGAAATCAATATGAGAAACAAAACCGTTTTACTAACCAGCCTTTAGTCCATCCTTTATCTAAGGTGATAGAAATCACCTTTCAGCAGGAAAATACAGAAAGAGCCACTCATTACAATTGACTGTAGTTGCCATGGCAGCACTCGTGCCCTTCCAACACCCTTCATCTCTCCAACACTTTAAGCCCATCGTTCTCCCTCTCAATCTGCCTGTGGATGTTTTTATGTTGCCATGTCTCATCTGAGAAACTAATAACAACAAGGAGGATAAGAAGGACTGAGGAAACTGCAGCCGACGCCACAAATGGCACAAAGTTTGATCAGACTCTTGCTGTTCGGTTCGTGTCGTTGGGCTGGACGCTGTTTCTGACATTTCAAACGGACCAGGACTCGTTAAAGCCAAGGACGACACATTGACGAGAAATAAAGGCAGAGGCAAATATGAACAGCTCAAATATTTTAAACCTGGGTGAAAAAAGTTATTCTATGTCATCTTTATGCAGATGATTGCAAGGTTGTTTCTTTGGTTTCAGAGTAATGTCGTATTTACGCCAAAGATTTTTAAAAATTCATATAGTTGCTTATACTTAAAACCAGACAGCAACAATATTTTGTGTTGCAGCTAAAATTAAACAAGATTTAGAATATTATACTGAAAATAATCATCAATGATTTTATATATATATATGTATATATATATATATATATATATATATATATATATATATATATATATATATATATATACATATATATATATATATATATATATATATATATATATATATATATATATATATATATTAAAAACAATATATAGAATATTCAATATATTTAACAAGCTATGCTAAGCTAAAAAACCAAGCTAATTATTTCATATCAAGCTAAGCAAAATAACTAAGTAACTCATATTAAGCAAAGCTAAGTACTTATATCAAGCTGAACTATGTGTCAAACCAAGTTAATTTGCTCGTATCAAACTAAGTAGTTTAGCTAAGTAGTTCATATCAAGCTAAGCTAAGTATCAAGTGAAGCCAAGTAGTTCAACTTGATATGAGAAATCCCTTCAGCACTACCGCTCTTGAATTCAAATAGCTCATTTTGATCACAAAATGGCAGGTAGACGGCTCTGGAGGCCGAAGTTATCAGGGTGATCTTTGTTATCCAGACGCAGTGCGACAGTGAGCACTCACCTTCTCTCTGAGGGACAGCACCTCCATCTCCAGGTAGTGGTGCTCCTCTCTCGCCTGCTCCAGCTCCGTCTCTTTACTCGACAGCTTCTCCTGCAGGCTAAGGAGTTCCTGAAAGAAAGAAAAAAAAAATCAAGATTAATGAGCAAAACTCTGCGCATCAACTTGGACAAATCCATCACCTAGTGAAACATGGTGGTGGTGGTATCATGCTGCGGGAATGCTTTTCTTCAGCAGCGACGGGGGAAGTTGACTAGAGGGTGTGGAGTGAAAATCTGATTGAGGGTCTGAAAATAAATATTTCCAAAAACTGCAAAGCTGTTGGAGGTGTAGAGCAAAAACCTACAGAATACAAAGCATGTGTTCCTCCACTTCACAATAACGCACAATTTGCCACATAGAAGCGTGAAAAATGTGAAAAGTCGATGAATATGTGAGCACTTCAGCAAGGTGCTGCGTTAAAGAGACGGAACGGAAAACTGTACTTAACAAATCTCCTAATTTGTTGGCTGCGGCCGTCTGGGAAGTAAAACAGCAGCAGGTGACAAACAAGACGTGACAGCAGGGTGACTGTGTGTGTGTGTGTGTGTGTGTGTGTGTGTGTGTGTGTGTGTGTGTGTGTGTGTGTGTGTGTGTGTGTGTGTGTGGTGTGTGTGTGGGTGTGTGCGTGTGCGTGTTCGTGTGTGTGTTGGTGGTCGTCCCTTCAGGCTTGTCACTTCAGATTGAGTTGGACAGGAAGTCGGGTCGGATCAGGCCGGCTCGTGCCAAACAAGTGATGTGAACTAACAAAGCTTTCTGAGCTGTGGATTCAAAGGAGTAGGCATTATGGGAGAAACCACAATTTGTGTGTGTGTGTGTGTGTGTGTAAATTTAGCCGGCTGTTTATATAACTTTTTAAACAACTTCACCACATCAGATTGAGGATGACTCGGTTCGACTGGGGATCAAAACTGCAACATTGTTACACTTTCAGCTGCTGAACTGAAAATCTTGTTCTCACTCAGAGTGAAGGAGGCCAGATGGAAGTGAAGTGTTACCCTACAACAGATGTGAACGCTGATTCCAGAGCGAATCAGATCAATCCAAGATGGCAGCCCCTACCTGCTGCATGTTGTGCATGCTCTGCTGCAGCAGCTGGATCTGCGCCTCGGCGCTGTGAGCGTGTGGCTGTGTGTGAGTGTGGTCGTCGTCCGGCCGGCCGACTCTGCTCTGCTCCTTCTTCAGCAGCTCCACTTCGTTCCGGTAGGCGTCCAGCTGCCAGCGCAGCGAGTCGTTCTCCTCCTTCAGGGAGGCCTGGGTCTGGTCACACACACCTGCAGGAGGCAACGCGACATCAGTTAGGAAGTTCTTATTTATTTATTTATTTTGCAATTGGAAATATTTTTTTAAAGGGGCAGTTGGATTTATGGTGTTTTCCCTCGTCAGAAACATACCTGGAGTGTTGCCTCGATTCTTTCAAGCATGTTTGAGAAATCCCTTAATCTCCATTAAACGATTTAATGGAGATTAAGTCACCTGTGTGGACCGAGCTCTGGCTCTGAGGCAACGGCTCAGTTTCAAGTTTTCAAGCTTCTGAGCTTCTGCCTCAAAGAGCACCACTCCCTTACAAAAAGTTCACAAAGTAGTTTTAAAAAAAATGCTTCTCCGGACTAGCCAGCAGCAATTAGCAAACATCTGGTGGAACTACGTATCTGCTGAGCTCGTTACAGGAGCTACTTCTCAGGATAAAAGCATTGTTAAAAGTTTCTCAGAGGAGCCATGTTGAGGTGACTTCCTGAAGGCGGAGCTTCAGAAAGAGCAGGAGCTTCTTAAAGAGACAGAGGCCCACTTTCAAGATGACACATTTTTTTAGCATTAAATTTGATATATAGAATATTTTATGACAACTTAAGGCAACACAGTAATTTGATTGTGCTATAGCAATATATGGCGGGAAAACACATAACACTGCCCCCTTAATGACATAACGATTCATCAAACCATTTTCTTCAGTGCGCATCCTCTTGTTGGGGATATCATCCGAATCGTCATCCGACATCTCCATCTCTTCTTCTCGTCTGATGCCCATGATCTCCTCGCTGTGAGCATTTCTCAGCTCCTGAAACATCACAGCACACACATATACATATATATATATATATATATATACACGGCTTACATGGCATTTTACAAAACTAAACAATTACTTGGTTGCGGCAATGTTACAATTCAGATTCCCAGGAACAAAGAGTTTGTGGACTTTGATCAGTCATGCACATGCCTGTGAGATACAAGTAGAGAGCAGAGAAGTGAAAACATGAGACCCCCACCTGGCCGGTGACTTATCAGCTCTTCAAAAGTCGCCTGTTTTAACCTGACTCCTCACAGGAAACAAAAACTATCTTTTCTACAGATGAGGAGTGAAACCTCTCTCTTTTCACGTGTCGTTAAATCGCAAAAGAAGTGTGTGATTTTGCATTTAAAAAATATAAAATCTGAAAATGTGGCATTAAAAAAAAAAGTATTCTATCTTTAACTACAATTCATTGCAACCAGCTGCCTTCAAATGTTAGGAGTTTGATATTCAATTTAATCTCGCATAACTTTAGCTCCACATCACTCTGAACGCACCGTCTGGATTTTTAAAAAACCAACACGGCCATGGCACCGTCATGCTGTGGGGCGGGACGTTTATTTATTTGTTTTTTATTTTTCTTGCAGCAACAGAGAAGCTGGTTTAGTTGATGTAAAAACGGATGTTGCTGTGGTCCTCACCATGACCTTAGGGGTTATAAAACCCATCAGTGTCATCAGTCTTGGCGAAACGGATGTGAAAAAGTTCAACGCCTACACAGACTTTATCAAAGCCAATGAAAGAGAATTGTTCATATCTGAACTGCTTCCAGATCAGAGTCCTGCCTGAACGAATTAAACACCAAAACTAAACATTTTCAGTTGTTCACTATGAGGCGTTATTCACACCAGCAAGTCGATTAAACCGTCTGTAGTTTCTAAATTCTTAAAGTGCTTCACATAACTCTCTTTGTTTCACTTTATATTTTAGTTTTTTTGTTTTACAGCATTCTTGCTTTCCAGTATTCTGCAGCTCAAAGAAAGCTCTGCACTTTCTGCACGACTTAATGTCAATACAGTGTAGGATTGATCTGTTGATTATTTTTTTCTAGATTAACTGGTTAATAAATAGACAGCAAAAGGTGTTGAATGTGTTTTCAAGGCATAAAGTGCCATTTTATAGCACAATCAAGTAACTATGTTTCCTTTAGTTGATGTATACATATCAAATATGACTTAAAAGAAATTTGACTTTGTAATTTGGTGCCTTGAAATTGGGCCTCTGTCTCTTTAAGAAACGCCTGCTCTTTCTGAAAGAGCAGGAAGACAATGCTGTATCAACCCTTTTTTTACTGGGTGTTTCACTAAGAAGTAGCTCTTATGATGAGCTCCCAGGTGTTTGCTAATTGCTGCTGGCTAGTCTGAAGGAGCTGAGTGGCCGAGGACTGCTCTGCCCTGTGAGGCTCAAGACGCTTGGAAAAACTGCAGCTCAGTGGAGGAGCTTTGTCCTCGGAAGGCGGGGCTAGGTCCAGTCAGGCGTTTGAACAGCTCAATGGTTGCCATGGAGATTAAAGCATTTCTCAAACATGCATTAAAAATAACATTATAACATGACGTAAAGCTAGAAAGGGTCGATTTTCTACAACACTGTCCTTTAACAGGAGATTTTGTTTTACAGAATTTTAGGCCTTTTTTTGAGTCCATACAGTCCAGCTAACAATCAGTCGATTACTAAATTAGTTGGCAATCATTTTAATAATCGACTCATCCCAATTAATAGCTTCAGCCCTCGTCACACCGCAGCATGAAGCCACCACCGTGCCAGTCCAGGCGGTGGCATCCGTCTGAACCCGGAGGCAGCTCTCACTGAAACCGTTCCCCCCTCTTCCACGCCGACTCCTTGTGTTCACGCTCGTTATCTTGATTTAATTCTGGATGAATAATTGATCAGAGACCAATCCTGGAAATCACTGTTGCCATGGCAGCGGCTCACACTTTCCAAGAGTCAGATGCTTCGTGGTTCCCCAGCTGGTAGGAGGAGAGGCCGGGATCACAGGCAGCTACCTTTCTGTCTGTGTGTGTCTGTCTGTCTGTCTGCGAGAGGAAAAACATCCGGTAAAACAACAACAGGGGCTGCCGACTCTGACAGATCAGACGGGGGCCCCTGTCTGTCAGCGCTCTCCCAGGGGGACTCGCGGGTGACAGCGGAGAAGAAAGCGGCGGGCCTGCGGTGTTTTGGAGGAGGAGAAACAGAAAGAAGGCGTACCAACCTCACACTGCTTGCGCCAAATGTCTATGTTCTTGCGCTGCGCTTTTGAGAAATGGTCCCATGCCTTTTGCCTGGTGGCGGCCGTGAAAATGGCGGTGATCTGCTCGACTTCGAGGTGAACAGGGAAGAGGAACGGGGGAGGAGGAGGAGGGAGTCAAGACAAAATAAGCCATTTATGTAGCACTGCAGCTCTGACTAGAGGCTCCTGCACCCAAACAGAGGAGAGACCATGAACACACACTCACCATGCTGGGTTTAGCCCGTCCTCACAAATCTGTGGTTCGTTTCAAGGCAATTAGCAGAGAAACAATGACAACTGCTCTTCAAAGTGGGGCTGTGTTGAGTAATTATGAATGGTCAGTATGATACTTGTTTGGAGAAGTCTGAGTGATCAAAAGAGAACCTTCCAGCTGCACAGAATCCAAAACCAGAGGGAATAAATTATGACATAAACGACTCCTCTGTGAAAGGATGGATAATAATGTTTGAGCTAAAATTTTAAGAGGAAATCCTCTTCTTTATTAAGAGAATCGTTTTACTTTTCGAAGACTCGCAAATTACAAAGGCCAGAGGAGGCTGAATGAAAAAAATAGGCTCCAAAAAGAGAATAACTGTTTGAAAAAAGCCAGCTATCTTCATCGTGATTTCATTTCATTACAGACATTCCAGTCCAAACAAGATGGGGTATTAAAACATAGTTTTAAAAACAGTTTTAGTCAGTATAGAACAGGTTTTTGTTTCACCTGTATTTTTTTATACATTGAGATAAAGTATGAAACTAAATACAACATTGTAGCTGGTTGTATTTTTAGGCTTTGGTTTTAGCGTGAAATGTAAAAAAAGCCCTGAACTAGACAAAAAGACATCTCTGATTGATATTTGTCTGTGAACAACACTTGCTGCGAATATTGCTGCATCAGTCAACCTTTTTGGGTTTTTGAAGCGAAACTGTACAATAGCAAATCAGGAGTCTGGTGAACGTTTTACGGTGGTCCAACCTGGGTCCTGACCTGAGTTTGTGTTTCCTGCTAATGGTTAGCGTCACAACACCGCCCAAAAAAATTTAAATAATTAAATGATAAAATAAATGTAAATGTGTAATGAACAGGTCTCTCCCCCGGTGGGTGCATCAGTACTTACATTAAAAGCAGACTCACTTCCTTCAAGACTGACAAGGCAACATTTATCCCAGAACGGAAAGACCAACGTTTAGATTCTCGTCATAAATTTTGGCCTGAAAATGATTCCCCCCGCTCCCCCCTCTTGTTGTGTTCCAGCTCATTCTCCACCAGCTTTTTGGGTGGAGAAGACTTCCAGACACCACCCTTATGCTTACCATGTCAACCATAAGGGTGGTTTTGACTTCATTTCCTCTCAGACGACGCGGATACGTCAAACGAAGCCGGTTACTTTCACATTAGATAGGTAAGTAATGGTATTCTTCCATTCTGTGCAAAAATGTTGCCTTTAAAGTTTTGCTTTCACATTTGCTGTTACTGAACATTTCTGTGTAAACATATTAAAATAGTCAAAACATTTAAAAGTGTAATCAATGTCATCTCTTATGAGTATCTACTAAAAGTAAATATATATATATATATATATATATATATATATATATATATATATATATATACATATATATATATATATATATATATATATATACATACATAAAAATCAACTTTGGCAGCACTGTACTTACCCCTTTGTACTTTTTTCACCCACCATTCAAACACAGGAACATGAAAAGCAAACTGATGACACACACTTTCTGCTTTGGTTACTGTCCAGGATTTAGGATATAATCAGTGAAAACAGAACCTACCGTCTAAGGCGAACGTCGGTTCGGAGGAGTGTAGCACAGGAAGTGCTACCCACGATATATTTGTCAAGCTGGCTGACATTTTGGTACAACAGCCAAACAAGAAGCCATCGCCACTTTTCAGTCACCTTTGATTTTCGGGTAATGTTGTTAAAAACAACAGAAAGAACTGCGAGAATGCTACACGTGGCTAACCGCTAGCTGCTCATGATGCTAATGAGGATGGGGCCAGACTCAGGGAAGTCGTGACTATATGATTTCATGTCATTCATCCTTCAGATTTGCCCATTTCCATCTGGGCAAATGTGCTGTGAAAGCAGACACTCCAAACAGGATTTTAAAGTCAGAATACAGACGAGACAGCAAAGACTGAACATGAGCAGCCCTCAAAGCTGCTGGAGTCACAGAGATGCACATCCACGTAGAAGCGGTTTGTCGTTTTCTATTAAAACGCACTGCATGCTCAATGTGGGTGGGTTTGTCATGGCAAGGTGGCACAAACATTGACGTGATGTGATTTGATAAATCGAAGATATTTCCCCGTTTCAGGTGGCTTTGTCTGGCTCCCTCTGTACTTTCTCATCGTCTTTGGACCACGAGATGGACTTCAGTGTTGCCATTTGTCTTTAAGCTTGGAATAATTATAATTTTATCAAATTAACATATTAATATACCAGATTAAAGTGTGGTAAAAACCCTGTCCCTATTCTGTGATTTGCTTGGTTCAGAGGGTCTGGGATACGGTGGGCTCTCTGCTGTCGAGAAATGATTGCTTCTTGGAGGTGTGGACTGCTGCAGGTTTAAATTTTACCCAATCGCTAACATTCGTTTGTGATGTATGTAACGGATCAGTTTGATGCTATACAGCTTACCGGAAAATGCCTGCGGTAAACCGTTTCCACTGCGGAGCGAGAAGAGCCGAGCTGAACGAGGCGGCTGTTAATGTCAATTAAATATTAGGAAGCCTGGCCAACATGGACCGAACGGCTTCATTCACTTCCTCCGCTGCCATCAACTACAGACAGACTACAGAAAATCGACATCATCGTCATCGAAGGAAATCCTTGGTTGTCTTTTTACAGTTTAGTACTGCCTTGTGTATAAAGATATAGCTAAATCTAACAAAGTTAGCTGTCAGTGGTGTGTTTTTCCTTTAAGCTCAGAACACACTCAGTTACTGAACTTTGAGTTTTCCCAAATGATGGAAGTAAAAACTCAAAATATGTGAAACTAAGATGCTGATTGGATCAATGTGACTGAAATTATTGAAGGGCATTTATGTCACAAACTGATTTTACTCCTGTAGAGTAAAATCATTGAGCTGATGATGACTAATACATGTTGAACTGGCTTTGCTCCATGCTGAGTTAATCTATGACAACAGAAAACAGCCTGTCCCTGGCGGCTCCGTGTTCTGGACTTTTTCGCTGGCCTGGGTGTTGGAAAGGTCATGATGTTGCCACGCCGCTGCCTCTGAGACTCCTGACCGTCATCGCCGCAGCAGGGTGAGCTCCGGATACCGCGGCTGATGGGGAGACGGATGAAAGAGCGTTGTCATGGAGACAGGGCCAAGATGCTCGCGGAGTAAATGAATCAAATCGAGAACGGGCTCCAAAGCCGATGTGCTGAAAATGTCTTTATGGTGTGCGCCTCTGTAATCTGTTGCGGCACCACGCCCTGCAGCAGAGAGCAACTCCGCTGCTCTCGTAGGGAATGGGGATGAGATGACAGGAGTTTCACTATGGATTTAATAACAAAATACTGCTGTGTTGAAAGTTCTGACAAATCTTAAATCGCCTCACAACTCAGATGAAAGTGAATCACTGCTGGATCGTGTCTCTTGCTCTCGTTGAAGAGAGGAAGTCTGGCTTACCTTAATGTCTGCAAAGCTCGCCGTTTTGTGCATTTTACCTCGCGATATGCAATCGTCAGCCTACAAACGTTCTCTCACCATGACTGCATCGCATTTAGAAAGCACACTTACATTGTGTCAATATGGCCATCAGGGCGTTCTTAAAGATCTCCTTGGCTCGCTCCATCTCCTCCTCGTGCAGAGCCTTCTCGCCCATCAGCCGGCGAACGTGGCTGTTTGCCGATTGGATCATGGAGTAGAAGTGGTTGGCGGTCCGGCGGTTGACCTCGCCGCGGTCGATCCAGGTGAAGAGCACCGCCGTGGCCTCACTGAACTTGTTGTCGTCTGTGGAAACAGCGACGAACAGTTTGACCAGATCTAGAAAGTTGACTACTGTGGGGTTTGCATTGACTTGTAACTTCTTTTGCTCCCTTTTGTTTTTCCAGCAATTCCTGATTTTCTTTTTTTTTTTTTTTTTAACGAATCCATCTTTGGTGACTTTCTTATTAGTGGCATCCCCGTTATAAATGTGCGCAGCGTTTTGTTGATTGTCTGCAAATTTTGAAGCAACACAATTTCACAATTGTGGCATTTCCATTAAATAAGAAACAGGATCAAAGTCACACTTGGAGAAGTTCAGTCACGCGATACAATACTAAGAGACATCGTCCTTGGAGCTCGGTTAGAATTGTTCTGTCACGTTCAGGATGCACGACTGACCTTAACTTTGTTCAGTTGTGACTCAGCTCTTGACAATGAAATGCAGAGTATTCTCTTAATACTACTTCATCTGAGGTTTAACTCTCAGCCTGGCTAAACAAACACAACCTCAGGAAGTGATTGATAAAGTCCCTCTCTGCAGCCCCTCACTGCTCATTGCTCTATGAGCCGCCGCTCACCAAAAGTCATTTTGGCGATTTTTCAACTTCCTAACCCACAATCAGCCTCAGCTGCAGAGAGCAGAGCCTCCACAGGCCTCAGACTTCGGCTTTCTTCCTCCACATTTGAATAATAATTGAAGGATGCCACAGAGCGGCTGAAGCCCGCAGAACAGAGTGAATTAGACGGCGCTTAATGAGCTCAATACCCAGCGCAACACAACCTGTAAGAAGACTCTTTCCACCGGCTCTGATAAAGGCCCATTCATTCCCAGCAGCAGATTACAGTCACATTACAGCGCGCAACAATGAGACGCAGCTGAACGGGCGATGAGAGAGGGGAGAATGAAAATTTATTTCCCCTGCTGTCTGACGGGAAGAATGAATTGAAAAGGGTTATTCAGAGAGAAAACATGCTTGTTTATTTAGGTATTACAGGACGGGAGGCGAGGGGGAAAGAGATGCACACGGGCTCGGATGACGGAGAAGCAAATATTAACAAATCAAAGCGGCGGGTTGCTGCTTCTCAGAAGACAGGAATAAAACCGAAGCACCAGCCTGGAGCAGAAAACAAGGGAAGTTTTATCTTTAATTTTACTGTTATGATTGGTGGCATTTGTATTTTATATGACGTTCGCAGTTCGATTTATTGCTTCTGAATTTCAGCGTTCAATTTTAGGATTTTTTTCAAATTTTGGACACTAGCCATGTGTCACCTAAACTCCTCGTCCTTTAACACAGCGTCTTCCAAGTGGTGGTGGGGAAAAATGAAAAGCTATCAAAAGTTCAAAAAATGTACCCCAAATTTTTATTCATACATTTTTTTAAATATCATTTTTATTTTAATAATTGGTTTGTGAATTTAGATTTGTTTTTCAATCATTATCATAAAATCTAAGTTAAAATAACTTGTTGAAATATTATTTGCCATGCACATGTCTCTTATTGGTTGTCAGATTTATTAGGCTGCTCAGCCCCTCAAACTAGCAAAGCGCAAAATTTTTAAATCTGTTTCACACTCATTATAAAATGTAAGTTGAAATGTTGTTCGCCGTGCTCATCCGATTGGCTGCGATTGGCCGCTTCGCTCCTCAAACTAGCACGGCTAGCAAAAGCGCCAAATGAAAACGTTTTCATCTAGAAAAAGCCAGGAGGAACTTTCCAGAAGCCTTCGGTGGAGAACACTGGTAACCAGAAAAACATGGCCGACTAACATAAAAAGGCATATGGCAGTGTTTATGCTAAACAAATGTAATAGTCATTTAATAGAGAATAAATGTGAGAACGGATGTTCTAATAGTAAATGTTTCTTTGCATATTTTGTAGCGTTGTCTGTGGGCGAGCCAGATGCTAATGCTGTTTTGGGGGGAGGGGCATATCACATTTCATTCATTCATGACAATAAAAGACGTCATTAATTATTCGTCTCAAGAGAATGTTATTCAGTTCAGCTGCAATCTACACTCCACCCTATTGACGCTCTTTATACACCGGCTCTTTAAGGACACCATGTATTTGAGCGTCATCTGACCGAACGGCTGGGCGAATTCTTTCTCCGTTGAATCGTCGCAGCCTTGGTTTGTTCTTGCGATTGAAGTTATTCTTTTTCCCCTCTGACTGGCTGGTGTTTATTCCTTTAGTGAGTGTTAGTGCCAGTCATCTGGGAACAACAGGCTCCAACGACCAGTCCACAAAAAATAACTACTTTGACTACACCACTCAGTACCTCATCCATAGAACAGTCTCCATTGTATTTGCTCTGTCGCTTTAACAAAAGGAGACTGTAGAGAGAACAACGTGGCTAAATATAGCAGGGATGGGAAAAGAAACAAGCAGACTGGCGAGTTCTCCCTCCGTAGCAACGCTGCTGGAAAGGATGAGCATTAACCGGTCTGGGCCAGTACACTTTGGCACGTGTTCCACTGTATTTTCCTGTTTTTATTTTTATTTATTTTTTTGATGTATAAAAGTATGCAGTACACAGGAGATTCAAAAATATTTTCAGATTCTCTGTGATTTTATATTGATATGAAAATGTGTAAAACTGCAAATTACTGTCTGTCTAATAATTACTGCAATGCTATAAATTCAAAATGATGTGGGCAGTCAAAACTCTTTGTCACAGACTTCAGGAAGTCATCACAACAGGGCTTGTCCATTAACCCTCTAACAACGTTTTTAATCAGGCTTGCACTGAGAAGTAGCTCCTGTAATGAGCTCTGCTGGTGTGTTTGATGACTACAACAATTTGCCAATTGTTGCTGGCTAGTCTGAAGGAGCTGAGTGTGGGAGGGGTGCCATGTGGAAACTCGAAGGAGGAGCTTTGTCCCTGAAGGCGGGGCTGGATCCACCCAGGTGTTTTGCACAGCTGAATGCTTGCAGTGGGAGATTAAAGGGTTTCTCAAGCATGCATTAAAGAATCAAAGCAACACTTCAGGAATGGTTTTGACGAGGGAATAATAATGTCATAAAGCTAAAAAAAAAAGAAGAAGTCAACTTTTCATAACCCTGCCCTCTGATACTGTAGAAAATTAGCATTTTAATCTGAAACTATTTCTGCATTTGAAGTCTGAGGTGTGAACTCCAGACGTGTTCATACACTTCCTAGCATTACTGCTAATATTTGCTAGGGTATGGTGAAATATGGTAGATGCAGAGAGGCTCATGACAGAAGAGTTCCTCATGTAATAGAGACCAAACGTTTGTTAGTCCGTTAATTATCCTGCTGTCGTTCGATTTATTATCGCGTCACACAACAACGCAGGGTGGCACATAACGCTGGGTTCACCACGTGTTTAAAGAGAAACTAATGATCACTGTATAATAACTGCAATAAGTAGTGGATTGGTTTTCAATGAGATTGAATTACACTAAATTACCCAACCGGTTCCAGCTCGCCCGTTTTCAAGGAACCAGAGAGGAGGAGAAGCTCTCCTCCCTGCAGATATGCAGCCGCGCTCGTTCATGTATCCCAGGGCCGAGCGGAGGATACGTGACGGAGGAGGAGCGCTGACCTTCACTCCCCCACAAACAATCGCTCATCCTCGGCTTCTCACTGCACTCCTCATTCAGCTCACTCCCACGCTGTTTCTTGTGCAGCCTCCCGTTGTGCGGGGGAAGCAGGTGAAACATTTAGAAGCAGGACGGAGGGGGGAACGAGGAAACGAGCCTTCAGCTGTCTGTACTCCCAATTCAAACGCACATGGTGGTCATTTTGTCTCGCATCCATCTGGTTTTGTTTCCTTCAACATCAAGGTTTTGACTTATTTTGACGTACTTGCAAAATAAGTTTTGCTTTACACCCAAAAAAATTCTGTCATTTCCAGTTAAAAAGCCCCACAAACAAAATTGGTTTACAAATGTTCCTTTAAGGAATCGATTTATCCTTGAACACCTCAATCCTCGTTTGACAGGTACAAGCCTTACAGACTTTGAGATGAATTTATTCTAAGTGAAACCAGATGTGAGGGGGAAAAAAAAAGCAGAAATGAAGAAAAGGCCCTATACCACACTCTGAAAATTGGAAACACATTTTGGCGCTGGCTTCTTCCGCGATTTGTCGGCCCTACAGATGAGAGCACAGCCCAAGCAGCTCATGATGAATATTGAGGATTCAAATGTCAAGAACGGCGCACAAAGTGCAGGGAAGGAAAAACAAACCTGGAAGAGTCTGGAAAATGGTGAACCTGTGAAATAAACGATGTTTGGAAACCCTGTAATCAGGCTGATGAGTTCAGATTTTCATTCTCCCACATGTAAAACACACATATATACAATCCAGTTACTTTCCATTGACTTGATGATAATTCACACGATTTAACAAGCAGATTAACCTGATTCATCTTTACACAAACACCCTTGTTTATAACGGTGCTCTTACACTTTCCACAAACGGGACAAAGATCGATAATCGTTCAGCCTCTTAAAAGATTCATCTGCATTTGGTATTACACCCAGCAGGTGGTCTGAACAGCAGATTATACAACTCAAACACGTGAACCTATGCGTCATCTTTACATGATCCTGAACTAAAACGTCGCTGCATCCATAACGCCTCCAGATTTTATCCCTGCTGAAGCAGTGACGACGTTTCCTTCGCCCTGAAAATAAAATGAACTGCCTGGGCCTTTAACGCCAAGCAGGACGACGTTTAGCTCTTTGCGTGACCCACCTTTCAGTTTCTCGGCCAGCTGCGCCGCCTCGTGCTCCGAGTAGTGCACGATGGGAGGAGGAGACGGCGGACGCAGGCGGTCTTCGTGAATTTTTCGCCAGTGCCTTTCCTCTCTGGCCAACAGGCGCTGCTTGCACTCCCACTCGTACAGGTCGTCCCTGGCCTGAGCGAAGTCCACGTGGATCCTCCGGAGTCCTTCTTGTCCGTGCTGGAGCCGATGCGCATCCGATACCCTGTCCGAGAAACAGCGAAGCGCGGTTAACTCTCATAAGAGGTCGAGTCTTCCGCATGGTAGGCTCTTGGAGTCTGACATCATCTCTCACCCTAAGTTTTCTGCCAGAAAACAGAGGTTTTACCACTCTAGAGCCACATTTGATAAACTGACTTCGTCCCTAAGCTGGTTAGAGATACTGCCGATGATCAACAGAGTCAGAAGTAATATTACAGTGGACGCTTTGGAGTCAGCTGACATCAAAATATCACAAATAGCTATAAGTAACGCTGAACTTGTCCCCAAATCCCCCCACGTCGGTACAGCTTTGGTTTATTTAGTCCCGTTAATAAAGTCAAAATATAAAATATGAGCCTGTTGCTCACCTGACAGATATATAGCCTTGTCGATCATGAACTCCTCGCTGAAACGGATGTGGCAGAAGTTCTTCTTGCTCTTCCGGATAGCGATGATCTCCCCACACTGGTCGAACACCTCCCTGATGATGTCCTCCGTGGCGTTCTCAGGCAGGCCTCCCACAAACACCGTCTTACAGCCGGGGGGGCGCTCCCGCGTCGACGGAGGAGGCAGATCTGAAGCCACCAGCACAGGCGTCACTAATCGTTTTCTAAACTGGGACAAATCTGCAACTTGTGAGACAATATTGAGGCTGCACTTGATACGTCTATCGATATTCTGCTGGTTAATCTGCTTTGAATTTCCTCTTTCAGAAACGACTCTCCTCCAGAACATGGGCTGACGGCTCTTACTGGGGTTCTGAGGGAAGAGAGTGCAGCTCTTGCAGTGGATGATTTCCTTGACGACAGGCACGTCGGGGGGAATGGGTGGAGGTGGGACCAGGCCGATGCCTCCCATCATGGGGTTGATTGGTGCGAGAAGGCCCAGTCCGGGGTCAAACCTCGGGATACACAGAGACTCTGTAGCACAGACAGCAGAACAACGACACCAAACAACACAGACCGTTTGAGATGAAACATTTTGACACCATTAAATTTGTGCTAACACTCAATCTGATATGATTTTTTAAAGATTTACCTAGAGTTTGCACAAGATTCGAACGCTTTAAGCGCGCCTTGCCACTTTGAGTGCAGGCGCTTGACATTTTGCTCTCCACCTAAACTACGACACTTAACTACAGGCAGGCCACAAAATTCACGAAATGAAACATGAGCTGAATGTGATTTTTGTTTTGATTGTTTAGGGGTTTTTTTACCTTCTCAACAATGAACTAATGTTTAATCTGCACGCCATTAAAGAAGGGCTCCAGACTGTTGCCTTATTGAAATTTCCAAATTCTGGGGTCATCTATTGTTCAGATTTTTTTTTTTTTTCACCACTCTTGACTTGTGGCCGAACAAAATCACCTCAGATTTACCTGGAGTGGCCCCGGGGCCACACTTTGGACACCCCTGCTGTAAGACAGATGATTGGCAGGTCGAAGCTTCATCAAGTCAGTCCATGTGCCACAAAATGCAGAACTGAGGTCATCATGACAACTTAAAGGATTGTCATCGCACTTACGTCTCATGGCTTTTGCTTCAGTTTCTTCATTTTTCTTTTCTTTTTTTGTTGTTTTTTTAGCAAATAAGTGCTGTTTAATAAGTACTGCTCCATACAGCACATTAATAAACTGCTCTCCAACTTATCACAAACATAAAAAGATCCCAGCCTCAAAAGTGGGTCAGACAACAAAGGAAGGAAAACCAAAAGAGATAAGAAAGCATCGCTATCATCTCGGAGGTAACAGACGGGGAAACGAGAAAGCTGCAGATCGGATCTGTGGCAAAAAGAAACAAAAAAACAAAACTGAAAATACATCATCTGAAATAGGCCTGTGGGGAAAAAATGGAGGAGAGGGAGGGAAGAACAGGGTGTCTTTTCTCCAGGACAAAGCAAGTGAAGAAGAATGGGGAAGATAAACAATGAGAAAACAGAGGCGACAGCAGCAATGCCTCTCCTGTCTGGAGTGGCATTGGTGGGGGCTGAAGGAGGGGTGGTGCAGCACCCCCTCCCTCCTCGCCCCTCCCCCCCCCCTCCATGCTCCCCCGTCTCCCACACTGCAATAACAAGGGAGCGGGAGGAACAGAGCGTCAGCAGAAAATCCTCCTGCACGGCGGCCCCAGAGTCGCAGCTCCTCCGCGAATACTGTGATTCAAATGGCACGAGAGAGGGGCTGTCACAGGAGGAGGTGATAAACGCCTCCCGAGTCGTAATTTAATAGAAATAAATGTTTCTTTTGTTTCTCTGTGCAGAGAACTGATAAAATGCAGCCCTGATTCACAGTGAAAGCCTTTCCTTCTCTCTCTCGCTCTCTTTTTTTTTTCAAACTGCTGCTGCTGGTCTGAGCAGTCGGGAAAGCAGAGGCTAAATGTCCTGTTGACATGAGGAGAGGAATTTAGCACTTATGCTAATTTGATATAAATCAAGACAAAATACTGTTTCACTTTTGCAAACTGGTCAGATTGGACGGAGAACATCGATTTTAAAGGAGCAATGTTATGTAAAAGCAATGGTTTTTTTTTACCTTTACCTCATGTTGTCATTTTATTCCTTCATCAAAACATACTGGAGTGTTTATTGATTTCTTAGTGCATGTTCGAGAAATCCTTTAATCTCCATGACAACCATTCAGCTGTGCAAAACACCTTGAGGGAGTTTAATAGAAACTCATAGTTCCAGTTTTAATATATTGGACATTTCTTGACGGCCCAGAATGCCCAGCGCTGCTGTTTGTTCCTACTTTTGGAGCAGTCTCCTCTCCGTTTGGCGTTAACATTACACATTTGCTCCGGAGTTCCGGGAAATTAGTTTTTAGGCGGACCAGAGTTTGAGGTTTTGATCCGGATCAAAGTTCGATTGCACATTCACACCTCCCCGCACAAACCGGACTATCCAAGCGTTTAATTAAAGAGGACCAAACATGTTTAACACCTGTTTCTCCACCATAGGACGTGTCTTTCTACATGGGTTTCAGCCACCCCTCATTGGGGCTGTTGGCAGTTGGAACCAGGCAGAATACAACCAGCAAGAGGCTCGTATCGTTTTGGTTTGGTTAAAATCCAGGTGGAAACACTTTGTCAGGCCAGGCAGTTTGTTTTACCTCACCAACACTCCAAACAGGCACTATACTGGCCCCTCTGGCATTGTCATTCTCACATATGTGCTGTGCTACAATCATACTCCTTTAAACACTTATACAATTATTTGTTTATGTTTCTAGCGAATTATCTTGCCGCTTTGAAAACCGTGACTTTTTTTAGAGAGTCTTGTTTTGTGAGCAGCTGTTCGGGACGACCGCAGTAATTCCTAACATATCTACATTTTTTTTCCTTTTAGCATCCAAGCAGTGTCAATGCTGCAGACACTCGGTGCTTTCACGTTTGGAAAATTATATTGGAGACGCATAATGTTGGGAGATCTTCAGGCTTATCAAAAGGAGAAATAAAAACATGCGGCGAGATAATCAAGCATAAATCAGAGCCGCTGCTGCATTAAGAGCTTCTTCAGGTCCGATGAAAACTCATTGAAGTGCCTTCTGCTGTAACCCCCTGACAGGTAAATAGCACGTCTCTGTGTCACGCATTCATCGTAATCACACGGGGGTCGCTTTTTGCTCTCGGCTCTTTTCTCAGAGCCAAAAATCAAGCCGAGCCAGGTTCGTTTGTCTGGCTCCGAGCTCTGGCTCTGCCTCTGCCAAACACAGGAAGAGATAGAGAAAGAGGCAAAACAAACACACACACAGAGGCAGCCACAGCCAAAATCCGGGGCAAAGAAATAAAAAAAAAAAAAAACCAATAAAACAAAACCACGATTTGAAGGGAGAAAAATAAGTGTTTAAGCCCGGTAAATGTGATTATTTTAAAAAAGGCTTAAAGCGGAACCGCCAAAAGACGTGAGCTGCGGCGGCAGCCTGGCGGCGAGACATATGGCTGCGTTCAGGGCGCCGCAGAGACGTGAGGTTTAACGTTATTCTGAGACTAATCTTTAATTGACACAAACATCCGAACGTGACCTGGACACGACTTCGGTCCTGTTAATCGTGTGAGAAACAGTCGACGCTCCTGTAGGATTCCACCAAAACCCAAATCTGCAATTTGTACGACTAATTCTCAGAACAATTTTCTGTCTGATTTTATGTATCGTTCATAAAAACAATATCCAGAACCTGAAGCCGGCAGAGACGCCAAACCTTCGGAGGTAACAGAGAGAATTTGTTAGCTTAAGACTGGGGACGCGCGATCCACTCTTTTCACCTCCGATACCGATATCTGATGTTTAATATCGGCTGGTACCGATCCGATACAAACGGTACTGAATTGACTTGAAATGTTTCTTTTTTTTTTTTTGTATTTCAAACACAGACATAAATGTACTGAATTACCAATCTATGTGATAACTGCACCAGCACAGCACACTTGAATGCAGCAATAGCGTCGCGGGCTTTGTCAAATGGCGGAGAAACAACTTATCGTTACATTAAAACTGTTTGTCCCCCGCCACCGGTGGCTATGCTGACTAGAATAAGCATTGATGGCAGTGTTGGGGAACTAGCTGTAGCTTAGCCACATGTGGGAACGTTTCTCCCAAACGTTCCCACATGTAGCAAAAGAGGAGGTCTGCAGCTGTTTCCAGAGGTGAAGGTAGCTGAGCATCATGTCATCACTACGATGACATCATGCATGTTTCTTTATCACAGAACATATTCGGGTCCACATGTTAAAACACTCTGGCAACAACAAACACATAATTATACAGAAATTTTAAAATAAATTTGTGTAGAAAACAAATATTTTGCTGTTGGAGTTCAGTCATGTTTTAAAACGCCAGTACCCAGAGAGACCAGGACAGATAAATCCTTCTGTTTCTTGGAAAGTTTTCACATTCATTGTTAGGATCACAGAACATTTGGGCATCGCAGAAGGACAGAAACTGAAGGATCGAATAACTCCAGATGCACACATCTCCGTTTTTTTTCTGCATTCCGAAGAAAAAGTGTCACAGCTGGATGTCTGGAAGCAGATCTCAAAAAGACGGAAAGCAGCGTTGCAACAGAGGAGCAGCGCCGGACGTTTGTGGAGCGAGTTCTGCTCGGTAAAGCTTATTAGAGGGACAAGGCTTGGAAACATCTGGTGCTGCAGATAAATTCACAAATGCAAATTCTCTCGCTTCAGAGTCCCTCCACTTCTTTGCATCTCTGGTGTGCAATTTAAAATCAGTTGAAAGAAAAGAAGTGCTGCATCATTATTTCACAAATTCTTATGTTTTGTTTTTGCTTTTTTGTTTCTTTTTGCACTGGTCGTCTTGTCAGACAGCAAACAGACAAAAAGTTCTTGATATTGGGAGTCAAAGTCTGGATGACTGTGTTGAGGACAAACAGACTTTGACTGGGCCGTTCTAATTTGTCAGTCTTTTGTGTTTCCCTCCAAATATTCGTGAATTCAGTTCCATCCATCTTCTCATCAACTCTGATCGGCTTTCTGCTAAAGAAACACATTCCCACAGCATGATGCTGCCACCACCTCGTTTCACAGTGCTGGTTGCATGTTTGGGGCGATGTGTCTCGTTAGCTGACTCAGAAGAAATTTGACTTCATTTAACGCATTAAAATTGGGTCTTTGTCTCTTTAAGAAACTCCTGCTCTTTTTGAAACTCCGCCTACAGGAAGGCGTCGCAATATGGCTCCTCTATTAACCCTTTAACAATGTTTTTACTGGCATTTCACAGAGGACTACTTTCTATAATGTGCTCAGAAAATCCACAGTTCCAGGTGTTTGCTAACTGCTGCTGGCTAGTCTGAGGGAGGAGCTGGTGGGATTCACTGGGAAGAGTTGCTCTGTCAGAAGGAAGCTTCTAACTGCTCTGAGGGAGCTGCGCCTCGAAGGCGGGGCTAAGTCCAACCAGGCGTTTTGAATGGTTGCCACGGAGATTAAAAGATTTCTCCGACATGCATGAACAAGTCAAGGCAACACTTCAGGGATGTTTCTGGGTGAACAACATTATAACATAAAGCTGAACAAAGTCGATTTTACCAAATGCTGCCCAGAAAACCTGAGCATCTCTGCACTTTTCACATTTTCATTTCTAAGAACATAGTATTTCTTCTACCTTCCATTTATTCACCCTTTGTTTTTGTTGGCCTATAGCATTACTTTGCGTGTCAATCTTGACAACAACCCCACGTTAGAACCGCGCCACTGAGTGTAGGATGTACATTTTTATAATTAAATGTGTTCAGATTTAAAGTGTTTGATTTGATTGTCTCAGAGAAAAGGAGACGTGAAAAAGGCATCTTCACATGTAGCCAGCGATAAAGACTTAATCCTCGACACAATGAAAGGAAAGGCTTTACGGCGAGAAGGCAGTACCTGCAACCAGCTGCTGCCCGCTGATGCCCACAGGCATGATGCCCAGGTTGTTCATGGCTGTGGCCCAGGCTCCATGATCAGCAACGGGGACGCTCAGAGGGTTCTGCTCAGCTCCGAGGTTACCTGGACCATCAGCTGCTGGAATAAATTTGTCAGAAACAGAGGATCTTTCATCCCGAAAATCACCAACCTGGATTTGCTCAAAGTCTTGTCAGGCAGTTTTAGGTTTTCATTACTCACCACTGGCCATAGCAGGTCGTCCTTTGTCACCGTCGTCTGACGTCCTGTCATCAGATTGCCTCTCAAACAGACAGAGCAGGGGTCAGCGGGCGTGTCGGCTGGTTTGGTCTGAGCCGCCTGCACCGTTTACCTGTGCAAGTCAGAAAACAAGGAAAAATAAAGACAAAGTCATCAAATGAAAAGAAAAAACTCCACAGGAATCTACATTAGTGGACTTTTTTCAGACACAGTTACAATCCCAGCTGTGTTTCCAGCAATAAAAGCCACACGCACACACACACACACACACACCCACCCATCTTCTGATCCATTCGCACCGACAACTGCCAAACATCGGTTTTTAATCTTCTCGTCCTTAAATGTTACCGGCACTATTTGCTGTGCACACGCAAACAAACGCAGGGTGTTTTATGTGGGCCGTTTGTGGGCTGCCTGAGAGCGCTCCACCGGGCGAACCGCCGGGTGAACCGCAGGGGGCCCCATGGAAAACATGAAACAACTTCAATAGCTGAGCCAGAAGGGCAACCGCTACATCCCGAACGCCGACAGACGCCATGCAGGATGCATCCTATCTGAGCTGGAACGATTAATCAGATTAATAAGATTAATAATAAATAATAAATAATAAATAATTGATTAAAAAGATACTAAACAATGAATCAATTAATCTTTTAAGCCGTTAATCAACTAACTCTTTAGTAATTTATTAGTCCCTTATAATCACTAGATTAATTGTTTACTGAGTTATTAGTCATTTAGTGATGATTCAGTAATTAACTAAGTATCATTAATCAAATACATTTGGCTAATCGATTAATCGTTTACTAAGCGATCAAGGCCTATTTGTGGCTTCAAAAAGGGTCATTTCCTGAAAAAAAAGCAACACTCAGCTGTAATTGAGCCACAAATGCACAAATATATGTTGCATTAAAGATAAAAAATAGACCCTTTGTCTGTAAATACGTTCTACCCAGGACTCTGTGAGACCCATAGTTTTAGCTTTACCTACTTCAAATTCTGTAAAAAAAAAAAAATCAATTAAGCACCAATTATTAATCACTTAATTCAAATAATTTACCAACAGATTAGTCCTATGTTGCATTGATGTTAAGACGAGCATCAGTGCTTTTCACATGTTGTAAGGTGCTGAACTTTCTCACAAAAGAAAATGTGGAGATACATTTGAGATATACAAAAATGTACAGCTCCTGTGTTCAGTGAGGCGAAAACAATGCAGCCCTTTACAGATTTCTTTTGTTTCTGCTTTCCAGTCGCACCTAAATCTACCCAAAAAGATAACTCATGGATTACTTGTGATTAACCACATTCATGAAGATCAGTTTGATTGGCCACACCCAGGCCGGCTGAAACTGGAGAATCACGAAATCACCTCGCCACGTAGAACCTGTCTGACAACATGAAGTAGGCCATGTCAGAGTGGAAAGGGTCATAAAGCCATTTCTAAAGATTTGGGACTCCAGTAAATTACAATAAGAGCAGAGAAAACTCAATACCTCAGTAGAACCTTCCAAGAAGTGGTCGACCTGCCAAAAATCAGTGGAGGCCATTGAAGAGTTTCAAAGTGGAACCCAACAGATCACAAAGGTCTGTGTCACATTTGGCAAAAAGAAGTTGATGATCCAACACTTCAAACCAAGAGCATCATACCATCTCTGGGATCTGGAGGCCTTGTCATAGAGAGTTGGCAGTTCTAGGGCTGAAGCATGGTAACCATAACGCCACGCTGGGCTGGGTTAATCAGGGTTTTAATTAGGAGAACAGCGAAACTTTGACGTGTCCCAGTGCAACAATGAAGCGGCGGGTGTTTGGTATGCGGCGTGCGTCTCCCTTCCTTCCTCTCTCTCTCCCTAACATCTGTCTCTCTCTGTCAGTTACAGTCGGTCAGGCCACACTGTGCACCAATATTAATTTTTCACTTCTGACAACTGGAAACCAGCCGAGCCTCACGCCACATCCCGTTTTAATTGAGACACAATCATATCGACGAGTTTTTATTAACGACTACACACCGTAATGTGTAGTTCAGGGACGCTCGCAGTCGGACTCGCTCGGAGGCCGACCTTGACGTAGTCTTCGCTCTCGATTATGAATCTGATTACTGAGGGGCAAAAATGTGAAACGGAACCAAACTGTCTGGTGCAGCTGTAGGGGTAAGAGATCCCTGGTGATGTTCATCAGTAGTGAAGAGTCAGCCAATCAGATACCGACTCTTGTTCCGGATGAGAACTTACTGACGTGTGCAAGTCTGACGGATCGTAGTATTGACTGCAGGGTGTATTCTACGCACTGCAGCTGTGTACTTTGTAAACAAACTATTACAGTATGAAAATATGATGATTGACCTGTCCATCAAATTTAGACGGAAGCAAAATTTCCAAGTTTTTCCTGGAAAATTTCTGATTCTAGATAGTAGAGATGGTATTTGTGTGCCACAACTTTTTTTCAATCTACAATGGTCCTAATATTTTGGCCTTTATGATGTGGAAACATTTTTTTTTGTAGAATGCGTTTGGTTTCATCCTCTGGGAACAAATAACTTTGCGGTCGGCTGATGATAAGGTGAACTCTCAGCTGTACGTATCGACTTTTCTAAATGATTTAGTTTGTTTACCTGGTTACCGGCTTCAGCAACCAGCAAGTAGACAAAAGAAGACAGAGAAGTTGGTTGCCAACTTTCTTCAGACAGTCACAATAAGAGCCTTAAGGGACTGGTTTCACCGCTCTGCAACTCTTTGCGTTAGATTTTGCTGTTTTGGCAGCAGAACATGATTCTGACACTTATTAAACGCTTTCACCGGATGAAAAGTGGGCTTTTCGTCAGTATGTGGACACGTGAATTGCCGTGGAAGTTCAGGAAGATGTACGTTCACGAGCAAGGCCAGGAGTCAATGTCAAATCTGTTTTTTAAATGTATAAAAACTCAGAGACTGTAGAGGGAAGCGATGAGGAGAACATTCGTACTGTTGTCAGGACAGAAGAAGAGGTACAGCAGTGCATCCGTGAGCCACAACAATGGAAATATAACCTGCTTGCTGACTTGCCTGCGCATAACCGAGGCTGGTATGTAGTTTGTCATTTATTGTCATTTTGTGATTATATGAGATGGAATGACTGGTGTTTTTGTGTGTGTTTGTTGCTCAAATGCATCTGCTTTCTTTTGTGAATTTAAGTTTTGACAGAGTGTATGATCATTTTAATAATCGTTTACTTGTAATAATCTCGTGAAAGAAAAACCAAAGTAGCCGTCATGATGGGTCATTTTTTTATTCATAGGAGCAATGAACGTTTTAACAATCTTACTCAAATATGTATTCTTAATTCAAAAATACAACCACTATTTTACTAGTATTACCACTATTGGTGTTATCATTATTGCTACAACTGGTATTATTATTAACAATAACAATCTTGCCAGGAAAAACAATGCCTATTGTTTAAAAAGGGAAATTCTCTTACGAATTGTCACGTTTTACTCGAGCCAAAATGCAAATGTCAGCCACTTTAACATCAAGGGCACGTTTAGCGTGACAAAATATAAATAAATAAAAGGGCACAAAGTGGAAAAAAGTCGAGCAAGGTCCCACGCAACAAAACTCAACGTGACGAGTTGACTGGCTGATCGGGGAAGACAGATGAGATTCAATGTGATTTTCCATCAACCCAAAGCCTGAGAGAGAAAACTCCCACTAAAGGAGGCAGGGCTTATGTAAGCCTGACAAACAGCAGAGCTGCTCACATCGCTCCCTCTCCTCACTGTGAGCTTCACATCAATTTGACAAACACGCGCAAACGCAAACACCTAATCCAGGTTCGGATCGCATGTTTAATGGGCTGCAGCAGGCACTTACTTAAAACCTACACAGACTCAAACACCTGCAGCGATGTTCTGTCTGCAGGAACTGCTTCTTTATCCTGCTGCTCACTTGTTCATATCAGCCCGTCCTGTCAAATCTGCCTGATTTTCTCTCCAGGGGAAAAGGTGTGTGTGTGTGTGTGTCTCTGAGGAGGTAATGTACCATAGCAGAGTTGACGACTGCCTTGTGTACTAATAGGAATCTAGAAACGAACACTGTCGTTGTTAAGAAGTCAAATAAAACAACTATCTTTTGTGGGGCTGGGATTCATCGAACCTGATCTGACATCATTTAGGGTGTTTTCTCGCCAGATCGTTTGGTAGACTTGGTTGGTTGCGATTTTGATTTGAGACCAAAACAGCGACATTTGTTCCATTTTCAGCTGATGCAATTTGTGTTCATATTGCGCAATCCATTTGAAAAAGCCGTTCCCCTCCTCACCTGTGGAGGCGCTGCCCCGAGAACCACTGAAAGAAGTGACACTATAACCTCAGAAGAAGACACTGAACTCAACTTCCTTCTTCACTAAATGTAACCAATAGTGGAGCAGCGTCAGATTTTAGCAGTTGTAGGATCTCACTTTTGTCTTTGGTGAAAGAACATGAGTCGCCTCTCCCTGGCGCTAGTCACATGCGTTTGTTTCGGTTGTATTTACCCAGAATGCCCTGCGGCAAAGTCCGTTTCCTGCTTTTGGAACGGTATCTGGTTCACTTGCATCCACATCTCCGTTTGAACCAGACTTCGCTTTTTTGATCTAAACAAGGATGGTGGGAATGTATCCTTTGTTAATACTATGAAGAAATTTACCCTAATTTAATAACTTCTGTAATAATAACTGATGGAAAATCTCCACCCAGAGGAGTCTATGAGCTTCAGGGAACAACAGGAAGGTTAACTGGACGATGTAAGGTTGTTTTATTCCACTGTTTTGGACTTTTAGCTTCTATCTGCAATGAAACATAAAGTATTTAGGAATATAAGCAACAGACTTGGACACTTTAGCACAAGACATTGAGATTTACAATACAGAAAACACTGATTTGAATTGAATTGCAATGCAGCAACCAATAGATAATGTTTCCTACTATTGGAAAGATCCTTAACTTTGGTTCCCAGATAAAACCACTAACTTTTATTACCCTAATCAAAAAACCCAGACACCGACCTCTAAAGGAAACTGAATAAATATTAACTTGACTCGTATTGATGCGGTCCATTTGTCAGGGAACCAACATGGTGCCTGGACAAAATCTGA